ATGTAAAGTTATTTTACTTTAATATTAAAGAAGAAAAAAAGGGAAATTATATTGATGGAATGCACATCATTACTCAGTTGCATTCCTCTTTCATCTCTCCAGTTTATTAATGTCTCTCATGTTATTCTTTCTAGTAGGATTTATTTGCATCCTCATAAAAGTTAGGATCACATTTTCCTGTGTTCCTTAAAGCTTCAACTACAAATGGTGAAGTGAGCCACAAAACAGGCTGCTAACCTCAGAAGGGGTGTCTACATGGACTAAGACTGAGAGATTTTGGGAAAATTTGTTGGCTGAGAGAAAAGGAATCCACCCCCCCGCCCCCGCCAAGAGACTCAGTTTGATTGTTATAATGTAAAATTTTGACCCTTCCACTCACTGTTGTGGAATTTCTGTTGAAAAACACTTAGAAAATGCTTGTCTAAAAAAAAAAAAATTATACATGTTTTGGATGTTGTGCTTTATACTGCATAAAGGTGCTGCTTTCAGGGGAGGATTTTGAGCTACAGGTCCCGGTTGGAGGCAGAACCAGTGCAGCCAAGGGCATTTAAACCCTCAAAGGTTCTTGCCAGCCCTGCTACTCGGCTAATTTAAGCATTGCTCTGTTCAGTGTGAACAACCTAACAGGGAAATATGCCTCCTTCCCCAAGGCACTGCTGTGGGCTCCAGCTAGCCAGTGCAGAAGGTGCCAGTCATCTGAGGTCAAGTAGCACAGCACCTAATTTCAAAGAAGCACTTGAGTTCTGTTCCTGTAGGAACTATCTTGGAGTGTAAGGATTAGACTCATCAATGGTTTTGTGGATTTGGCATGTAGTTCCCTGCATCAGAGAGTGTGAACTGCAAGAGCTTTGTGGTCTGGCTGCTCCACTCAAGTCTGATTAACACAGAGAGAAATAACACAAGTATAATTTGAGAGAACTTCTATAGTGAAGGGATACCTTTTGGGATGTTAGGCAGCTTTTTTTTTTATTTATAGGGAACTTAAATAATTTTTTAAATAATTAATTTATATGTAGAATTTTCCTATCATGCAATTTGAAGAGCAACTTTCTTAGGAAAACTTGTAGGCTGAAATACTGCAAATACTTTGTCTAAATAGAGTAGTACTTGCTCAGGTGGCACTTAAGATGTTATGCTCCTAAGACAACTCCAACGAAGAGCTGCACATTTCTATGTGTTAACTTTTTTCACAGATTCAAAACATATTTTTACACATTTTATGCATTAAATGCCTTTCCCCTTGTTTTACTTTTGCTCACTTAGCAACTGACCTGGTTTTGCTTGGAAACACTTCTTCTTTAAATAGGAATAACTCATTCTTGGTGGCAGTAGTTGATAAATTATGACAGAAATATTGTGCATGATTCTGAAAGGCATAATAACAATGTCTCTCCAGATGTGCCTAGAAATTAAATACCAGTTTTGCAATGCCAGTTTTTAATAAGCAGTCTGAAGAGTCTATAATTTAGGAAACATTACAATTTAGTATGAAAAAAAGAGACAGATTATAGCCCTGTACGAGCCATGAAGCAGAAGTTGCCTAGATTTTCAGAGGGTACACCTTCCCACCTAGTAACATGTTTAGTACATGTTCTCTTACAGGAGTTACTGCTCCATAGAAATATTTCAGTCCTGTTATTGGTATGTGTGGTTACAGCACTGGTGCAGAACAGATACCAAATTCGTTATGTGTATGAACATGATAATTTCCAGAAATGCACCTTACTATTTTATCTAAAAGACAGATTGATGTGAGTCCCTCGTCATACAAGCTCCCCTCTGTCCTGTCCTTCTCAGTAGTAAGGCACTCTGCTCCTGGCCTCTGTCACTAGAATCAAGGCTCACCTTTGCTTAACCACCATGGAGTAATGGTGAAGGCTGCTGGGATTCCTGGGATGTGACTTTTCAGAGGCAGAAGGCTGTTTTCCCTGGATCTACCTCCTCTGGCTGCCACACTGGCAATGGTGGAGGGAGCCAAAATCGTACATCCTTATCAGCTCTTTATATCCACCCTGTCAACTACAGGAAGAAAACAAATTCCTAAAGTTTCCTATGCAGAAATTCATAGGGTTGATAATTCATGGTGTAGTAGTTCAGCCCTGGAGCAAAAATTCAAAGACAGCAGGAATATTATAACAACAACAACAACAACAAAAAGTACTTTGGAAGAGATAAGTTTTAAATTGCAATTATCTTCTACATGTGCCTGTATATTTGGGTTCAGGTTTGCTAAAAGTTTTGGAATTCATTTAAAGACAATTAAAATCATTATAGAGCATTATGGCTTATCAGAGCTGAGAACTTACCAGTGAAGGTCTTCATTTCAAGACCTCTTATTAAAATGACTGATACTAAGATAGTAGGTAAGAAGAGCGTAGTGCATTCCCCTCTTTAAGCATTTAGAAATTTAGCAAAGGAAGTTGGATTTGGGCTGAGTCAGCTGGGGCCATCCTACAGGGGTCTGTTTTTGCTAGAACTACTGGTTTTTGTAAACCCACCCGATCACATAGACTGCTCTGGAAGAGCCTTTCTCCCTCCCATTTCTTCACTCCTGTTCCTGTATCCATACTTCCTCTTCTGGTGTTCAGCAACAGAACTAACACCAATTCCAAAGGAATTCCACGAGAATATGGGCAGACTTTTAGGAAGAGAGAAACCACAAATTTGTTGATGAGAGTCACGCAATTGCACAAAACATTTGGGTAATGTTGCTTCAAACCAGGATGGTCATGTGTGAGTTTTCAGTTTTCCTGCTTTAGTTCCAAAATGACAGTCATATATCTGTTTTCACTTTACTGTTTGCATTCACATTCTTTGTCACTGTAGTTAAAATGCTAAGTTATAATTTAGTTGCTCCTTTAGTGAGAATAATTGCCAGTTTCTTGCCAAACAGCCTGTGTCCACTATAAATTAAACTTGCATAAATTAGAAATAGTTATAAATGATTCTGCTTTTGATAATCTGAGAATAATTTCTGCCATAAATAAACACCTTGGTATGGCTAGTAGCAAGTAGATGATTATAAAATGTCTCCTGTGTAATTAGGGAGCACATTTTTGTGTAATTACAAAAATGAATGAGAGTTAAATTTTGAGAGAGTGCTGGTGGTATTGCCACCCTCCTGTAATATAATATATACTGACACTAGCATTACTTTTATATACAACTAATGTAATTGTTAGGAATAGTTTTTATATTAAGTTAGAAATATATTCTCAACTTCAGAAATGCCAGCAAAACACAGTGCTTAAAAAAAGAACAAACTCAGAGAGACAGTTAAAAAATCCACTCTATATGCAATGATTCTATTTTGCTGTGTTCAAAGGAAATTGTTGGGAAAGCAAGGTATTCGTTCCATATGCTCACATAATTAGCTAATACCTCAGTCTTTGTGGGCTTGTTTTTGTCTGTTTGCTTATAAATTTCTCCTAGTTTAGAAAATTATATCAAATTTAGCATAGCAAAATTATCACATCAAAGAGGAAAAAAAAAGGAAAACACTCAATTTTTTTTCAGATTTAAACAGTGGAAAATATGAGACACCTTGGGATCCAAGTCCAAGTACATACATGTAATCACATGTATACTTGATATCATTTACTCTCACTCTTTGAGCTGGAATGAGCTGAAGAAACAGATATTTATGACCACACTTGTCTGAAAATAAGTGCTCTTATCACAAGACAATTAATAAATGGATACGTTCCTTTGGTTTAAATATTTACCCAAGCTGATGCTTTTCCTGTAATGCTGGCACGTCTTTTCATAATCTATCACTAGCCGTGGAAAGTCTGTATTTTTATTTTTGCTTTCAAATCCTGCCCGGGTTTCTAACAACTGCCAGGTGAAGCAGATTTCATCTCTCATGTCTCTCATGTCTGTCCACCTGCTTAAAAACTGACATTCACAGCCTGCACTGAGGCAAAGGAGCACAAGTAGCTGCCTTTCTGGAGGCACAGATAAGTTATCATGTGAGAGAGCCAAGAGTCCCTGACAATCACAAAATTGTGAGTTCAGCTTTTTTTTTTTTTTTTTGTTCTTTGCAGTGGCAGTGATGGCAAGTCAGAACCCATGCAGAAGGTAATTAATGTGTTGGCATTTCATTCCAATTCCTTCTCTGCAGAATGGATGCTGGACTCAAATGTTGGACCACAGGACACCAGGGTGCCAAGAAATGGCAGTGAGCTGTCCCACACAATGCATTTTTTATGTAGCTGCCTGTAACTACTCTCTGGAAACATTCAGTCCCAGGTCCTATTTCCCTCACTTGTATGACAGCTGTTGAAGATACAGAAGTCTTGTTTATGTTCACAAATAGATTTTTTGGAATCTTTCTGTAATAGAATATGCCAGCGCAGTGAACTAACTTTTTATATGTTTTATAAGTAGTGTTCCTGAAAAAAATATTATTTCACTGAGAAACAAGAAGGAAATACCCAGCTCCAGAAACTCATCTCTTCTTCAGTAAGGAGTCAGTAATTTCTAAAACCCTGTCATTTAGCTGCAGAATATTTTTACCAGCTCTCACTGGGAGATGCACATAATAACAACTAGCACCCAGAACAGCACAGCCGAGGATGTCAAAAAGATTGCACAGAGATCAAGAACTGTTTTCACTGTTGCCTCTTGAATGCATGAACCTTACATAGGATGGCTCCTGGAAACCTGACAGTACTCCTGGGGAGCTGCTAAGCTTTATCTTCAAGACATTCAAGTTTACCTCAAGGAACAAAAGGTTTTTTATGATGAGGTGTCTAGGCAGGACTTTAGGTGTACAGCTGCCATTCCCAGTGATTATTATAGACCCTAAACCTCCACTTTTCTTTACAACTAAAAATCTAAAACTCAGTATTTCAATGCAATTTTCAGATTAATCTTTTCATTCTAAGGATACTCTTCTGCTGGCCTATCCCACCTCCCTGCCCTGTTGTTCCACAGCAAGCCAGATGAAGAAGCCTTTTGGAGAAGCTCTTCTTTGTCCCCATAATCTTCTTCCATGGCTTCTTGATGTTGTCATGAAAAGCCACTGCACTTTCACTCCTAAGGCAGCCGCGCCAGTAAAAAAAACCACTGTTCTCGTTGGAAAGAGGAGGAGTCACAGCACAAAGCTACAGTGTCTGCTTCCAAGGTAGGCAACTCTGCCCAACCCTGGTCAGAAGGTTACACTTAAGCTACGAGGTGCAGCAAAAAGGGCACAAACCATAAACCTTCTTACCTTTAGGGAATGCTAAGCTGGAATGTCCAGGAAGGTCCATGCTTCAGATAGCAATCAGCCAGCTGCCTTTCGTGTTTGGCACTCACTTGCCTGCCTTCTAAATTGTAGGCATATGTATTTCCCCGCAGTTCTTTCTGTGTTGTTTTGTTTAGGTTTTTTCCCCCCAAGTTTGAAAGTTGCTAGGAAATGGCAGTAGGAAATCCCTGCGGTCTGCTTTGTCGTGAGAATAACTTCTACCTTATTAGATACAAATTTATTTATGTAACAACTGAAAGTAAAACAGAATGGAGGAGGGGGTGGAGCATTTGCTGCTGTCACTTGTGCAAACCTTATCCTAACTTCTGTGTCCTGTCGACTTGCTGCTCAGCACTCCAAGATTTGTGAGTATTTCACAACTTTTGACATCCTCTTGTTTTCTTTTTTTCTTCATTAGAAAGATGAGGGAACTTAGAGCTTAGTTTCAAATTATTAAATGTTTTTAAAAGCCATCTAATAAGATTTCTTATGAAAGACATAGTTTAAGTACTGTATTTAACCTTGCACTTGGCACCTGTTTCTCTGTTCTGCTGTGTTAGAGAAATCAGCAAATAGAGAAAACTGGTGCTAGCCTTTGAAAATTTGTCATTGTTTGCTAACAAATTCACTCAGCAAAAATGAGGAGAAAACAAAGCTACTGCTCGGAGCCTCATTTAATATAGCAAAGACAGAGGCAAAAATCTGGGAGAAAAGTTATTTACTTCTTAGTGTAAACAGTTGAAAGAGCATTAAATGCAGGCAGAGAACAGAAAATCTGCAGGCAGTGCAATCTTACTGAAAACAGTGACAGAGTTTCTGTAGATGATAGCAGTGTTATAGAGAGATTTTAGTCAGTAGCAAACAAGAGTAAACATATGCACTGGTGAGTCTTGTTAAAAATAACACTTTCTGCCTAGTCATAGAATCATAGATTCATATAGGTTGGAAAAGAGGCAGAGATATGGGGAAGAGAAACTTGTCACAGATTGTATTGTCACAACCTGCACAATTATATCTGTATAAGTCTAATAGGAAATTCTCCTTCCTGTGCACAACCACTATCTTGCAATTCCTTCTGCATAAAGAAGAAATTTTTAGGCAACTTACTTTTAAGAGAGTCTTATACTGTGGAGAAAACTCCTGACGATAATTATCACAGCATGTTTGGCTATACTTTCCAAATAGTACATAGTGAAGTCCTTCCTTTGTCTCTCAGGGTGTTTAATTCTATTTACAGTTACAAATTAATTTGGCATATACCAGTTAAATGGAAACTTACCACTAGTTATTTTGTCTTGGAAGAAGATAACTGTAGATTAATATAGTCTAAACAAACAGCTATTAACTAGCTCAAACAGATATTAACTAGCTCAATAGAGGTGATAAATTTGGGAGTCTAGAGGGCTGTTTGAAGCTTAGAGTATGTCTTTATAGCTGTGCCCTGCTCTGCACCAGCACCAGAGGGCAGCAGTGGGCAATCCCTGGTACAGGGGCTAGTGCTCTGGGAATGGGGATATCCAGGGGTGTGAGAGAAACAAACTGCTGGAATCCCCAGACAAGCCCTGCATGACACAGGGGATTCCTGCTTCTCTGCCTGACAAAGCACAGTGACTTAAGAGATGGAGGAATGTTGACAGGCTCCTGCACGTCTCATCTGCTACTGTCCCAGCGCCCCAGGTGACCTGGCACATGAGGTGAGAGGCTCTGCAACTGGAATGGAACAATAATGAATAGGATGGTCCAATCTGGTTTGCAGTTGTCACTAAAGTTAATTCAGCCTGTGCCCCCCGTCAAAAATACTTACATAAAAAGAAAAAAAGGCAGATTGATGTCATAGAAGATCCTTTCTGAAAGGAACAGAAAGACCCATATGCAGACCAGACAGGCTTCTTCAGGAAGTGTGCATCCTTCCTGGGGCCTGGGTTAAAGATGTAAAGTGAAAGTGTCGCCCTGTGGCACAACCCTTTGGTTATTATCCAATTTCTGTTTTTACAGGTAGGCAGTGATGAAGTTGCAACAGGAAATTCAAGGGCAAGTAAGAGACTCCAGGGTCTTGGGATGATTGTTAAGGGATCAGGAGTACAACTGTCACTGTCCTCTATCCATCCTGTTGCAGGGAAGGAATGGTACGATCCAACAGACCAATACTTGGCTCCAAGCTTAGTGTCACCCACAGAATTTAGGGATTTTGATCATGATTTGGTCTACTTAACACTAGACCTTCTGGCAATGGATGGGGTACATCTGTCCCAAAGGAGGAAAAGGATCTTTGCGCAGAAATTAGCAGGGCTTATCAAAACAACTTTAAACTAAAATGGGAAAAGTGGTAAAATCAGGCTCACTAGAGGCAAACTGGAAGGTAGCCCACCAGTTTTTGAGAGACTATGTGCTAGCGAGTTCCTTCTGTCCACCACTGAAGGCAGGGGATGGAGATCCATATGGCAAAAAAGACACAAAGGTCAGTGATGTTTTGGAAATCATGGAAGCACCTGAGAATGGTCATGTAAGAATTAGAGCTTCTCTCCCCAAGGAGGTGGTGGAATCAGCAGCTCAGCTGAAGTGTCATTACACCGATGCACACAACATGAGCAAACAGGAGGTTAAGCAGGAAGAAAATTAGGAGGGCCAAAACCCAATTGCGGCTTTATCTGGCTACTGCCCTAAAAGACACACAAAAAAAAATTTCTGTGAATACTTCAGCTACGGGACCAGACCTGTCAGTCTGACTGTGCTGCTGGGGAAGGTCATGGAGCAGATCATCTTGAGTGCTATCCGGTAACAAGTACCAAGGCAACCAGAGGATCAGGCCCAGTCAGCAGGGCCATAAGGCAAGTTCTGCTTGTCTTATCTGATTCCCCTCTACAACAGTCTTCTGAAGAAACTGGATAGTCATGGGTTGATCTGATGTACTCTTTGCTGAGTGAAAAAACTGGCTCGTTACCCAAGCCCAGGATGGTGGTGAATGGAATTAAACACAGCTGGCAGCCAGTCACCAGTAGTGTTCTCCAGGGTTTGGTGCTGGGGCCAGCCCTGTTCAGCATCTTTATCAATGATCTGGATAAAGGTGTCAAGTACCCTCAGTCTGTTTGCAGATGACAAGTTGGATGGGAGTAGTGACCTCCAGGAGAGTCGGAAGGCTCTGCAGAGATCTGGACAGGCTGGATCAAGGGACCGAGGACAACTGTTTGAGTTTCAACAAGGCCAGGTGCACAAGTTCAATCCCATGCAACACTGCTGACTTGGGGCAGAGTGGCTGGAAACCTGCCTGGTGGAAAAGGACCTAGGGGTACTGGTTGACAGCAGCTGAGCATGAGCTAGCTGTGTCCAGATGGCCAAGAAGGCCAATAGAATCCTGGGTTGTAACAGGGATTAGCGTGGCCAGTAGGACCAGGGCAGTGATTGTACTCAGCACTGGTGAGGCCATACCTTGAGTGCTGTGTCCAGTTCTGGGCCCCTCACTGCCAAAAAGACACTGAGGTGCTGCAGCATGTGCAGAGAAGGACAATGGAGCTGGGGAAGAGTCTGGAACAAAAGTCCTGTGAGGAGCAGCTGATTGAGCTGGAGGTGTTTAGCCTGGAGAAATGGAGGCTTGAGCGTAACACTATCGCTCTCCACAAGTCCCTGAAATGAGGTTGTAGCCAGGTGGAGATTGATCTTTTTTCCCCAGTGAAATAGCCCCAGGTTGTGCTAGGGAAGGGTCAGATAGAATAATACAAAAAGTTTCTTCACCTACAGTGCTCAAGCATTGGAACAGGCTGTCCAGAGAAGTGGTAGAGTTACCAACACTGAAGATCTTTAAAGGACACCTAGGTGTGGTGCTTGGGATAATGTCTGGATTCAATCATCTTAAAAAGGTCTTTTCCAACTTAAACAATTCTATGATGTAATTACGAATGCTTTATGTCTTGCTGTCATTATGAATGTTTGAATTCTCTGGAAAAAATAAGACTATGGTCAGGTTCTGGGGAGATCAAAGGACCCTGAGCAATTCAATGTGAATCAAGCAAAAGACATTTATTGTGCTTCTAAACATTGTTTATATTTACTTCCTATCTTGGTCTACACAGTCACACATTGTTTAATTGGTAGCTCTGCTTTGTCCATGCATCTCTTTATTGGTATCTCTACTTTATCCACAAGGCAAGCATGCATCTCTTTCTTAATCTAGGTGGTAGATGCTGTAAGCGTAATTTTACTCGGGTTGACACCCCTTTGTCTGTCAGCAACTTTTCTGTTTCTTCTTTCTTCTTGCAACATCAGCTTTTTTATCCACAAAGATGACCTTGTTCTTTAGTTCCAGAAGGTTAGGCTGATTCATTTAGTACATGTCCATTTTCCTGTAAATATGATCCTACAAGATCCATTCTAAGGCTGCCTAAGAGTTCACTGAAAATGGAGAAGGGTCACAGGGGACACAGGTACAAGCTGATGTGGAATAGTTGGGAAGTATGGATAATATAATGCTAGATTTTTTCTTATGAGTGAAAAGTTTATCCTCAGCTTCCAGTATCTTTCACGCCATGGACAGTGATATATTTGACACAAACCTCCTAGTGTCAGTTCAGGGATCTGCCAGAACATTTCCCCTTTTCTGTGCTCAGAGAGTTCAGCTTGTGCAGCCAGCACAGCAGGGAGAAAGGCAGTCTGGAACAGCTGGCTATGAGACATTCCATTCTATCCAAACAGTGTGGTTTGTGACCCAGAATGGGTCACTGCTTTGCAGGCCAGCACAGTACTGCTGCTTGCAGGGATCAGGGAAGCGCAGCAGCGCATACACAATTTTTGGAACAAACTTCTTAGTCTGCACAACTAACATTTATTCCTCCTGCTTTTTTACATGACTCAGTCTTATTGCTATACTCTCTATTTCAACATTGCACCGTCACCGTCACAGGGGCTAAAACCCAGGAGAGTGAATATTCATGCATTCCTGGGTTTGTTTTTTTTGTTTTGTTTTGTTTTTTTTTTTTTTGTTTTTTGGGGGTTTTTTTGTTTGTTTGGTTTTTTGGGTTTTTTTTTTTTGTTTGTTTGTTTGTTGGTTTTTTTGGGTTTTTTGGGGTTTTTTTTTGAGACTTTTCTGTGCACTTAAACACTCATAATGGAAGATAGTGATTTTAAAGGTTATTTTAACTACAGGACTGTAATTCACTGCCAATTCTCATTATTATAATACATTCC